ATAGTGTCCTTTCAATTCTTTATATTTTCATAAGTGCGAACATCATTTAAGCTTTGTGACAACTGTTATTTTTTGTCTTTCCCCTTTCCATGCTATATCGACAGAACGTTAGATTCAACAGTCAGACTATTGAAATTTCAAAACTGAATTGACAATACTGTTTGGAACAAACCCACTGATATTATTATTAAAGTTACCCTTCTCAGTTTAAACTTCGAATATTTTTGACTTTACACCCTTAATGTGGAAAAATTCCTCTGTTAATTTTATTTTAACTTCATATTGTGAGTAAATCAGATGCAATGTTGTGACAAATGCTGAGAACTCCATTCTGTATTGTAAGGATTGTTTTTAAAATAAAGTAGAGTATTATTATGTTGCTAATGCTGTGTGTCTTTAGATGAAGAGCAGACTATACTGAAAACAGGAAAACAGAAAAAAGTGGTGAAATTATGCAATGAATGTTAACTGTTTCCACAAACTAGGACAATAGCTTCTCCCTAATTGTGCCGAACACATTAGCATTATGTCGTGAAAATCCAAAAATAGATGTCTAAATTTTGAACTTACTGATTCCTTCAGTCCATTACGTGGCGCAGATACTTGTATCAAGCGACACTTTCTGCAAAGTGCACCTATTCTGACGCATTTGAAGTACATTGTACAACTAATAGTATGTACGTCGGAAAATTTTAAAACGAAATTTCGCTTAAAAAGCATAAAAAATACAACCCGTAGTTAAACCACCACAGCAACGGACTATGATGCTACAGTCAGCAGGGATATGCGAACGTTCTTTCTTCCCTTCCTACTAACATGGGAAATATCTGCAACAGACGTCATTTACGTTTTTCCCTTTAGTATGATGTTCACCTACTTTGGAAGTATCAGTTAATTAATTATCGATTTAGTGAAATTCGCCATTAGTGATGGAAGCGAGAAGCATTTCTGGGATGTACACCCTTATTGACAAGAGGACGGACAATAGATAGTTTAAATTTCTGATGAATCTAAAATGGTTGAAAGATTTCTTTTTTTGCACTTTGTGAGGTACAGAAGCAGAAAGTATACCATGAACCCCAAGTTTTGTGGCCGTTAAATTCAGCTACCAGGAGAATTCGGTCACGTTGCCTTACCAATGGTACAAAACCAGCGATAAAGTTTGCGGACATATTCAGCGCAGTGAAGGATGATTGTGAACGTTCGGGATGCGGCAAACTGAAGTCGGAATGCGTCCACACGTTTCAACTACATTACTGTTTGTCAACGCTGAGGAGGGCGACAACCAATGTCACAAGACTGTCTTAATAGAACCTTAGGCAAAAGTAACGATAAGCTGGTTTCATGGCAGTCAACCAGTTGGCTCGAACACTGACTCCTCACACAGCCTTTTCAACATAGACTTCTCCTTAACAACGTCAGTTGCCTATGTAGTAACATAAAGGGGACCAGAAGAGGAATGGCCGAGCCCAAAAACCTGCAATTCTATTTGGACTGAGGGGAACCTAGCCAATCCCCTCTGTTGCCAGTGATGAAGTCCGTAAAACTGATATGGTATTCACTAGGCGGGACAACGAATATAAGGAAGACGGTGGAGCTGCCAAATACGTCAACAAGCAGCTTAGATGCTTACAAGCGACAGACCCACCGCTCACTGGACTCTATGACTCGATGAAGTGCAATATAATCGTAGGCCACACCACGTTTGCCTTATGAGTTCTGTTTGACATCCTCCTGAGGAACCGCTGCTGTTCAGCACCACTATAGGGACAGGGATTCCAGGCTATGGCAAATTCACTGCAACTGGAGACTTCAATACTGCATCCCTTAGCCTTGGATCGGAGTTTTCTCAAATAGAATTTGATTGAAATCTGCTAGATATCATTAGAAATGATGTATTGATTGGGGACGTTAGAAACAAAACTAAGTGGGGATTTATTGAAAGGTTGTTAGAAATGGATTATACTCTGATCGGCAACCAGTTACTGGTAGGAGGCTTTCGGACCAAGGACTCTCTAGATGGCAGTGACCATGCGGTCATAGTGTTTGATCTCATTCTTTGGGGATGCACACAGTTGGATGCCATGCGACCCTGTGCGTGATGAAGTTATCGAAAAGAGTATTCTTTGTTCAGCACCCATATTTTTGTAAATTTTAATGGGCACTTTGATTCAGTTTAAACTGACTACGCCAAAATGCGAAAACTTCCGTCTGACAGAATGGACCACAGATTAGTCGAGTTATCAGACAAATCCACAGAGAAATGAAAGAAGTGACTGTTCACACAGCGATCTCAAAAGCTGTCACAGCACAATTTAAGAAATATTATTCATGGTTAAACAGAGGCACAAAGCTTAATTTGCAGGCTGAAAAAAGCCTGGTTTTCACGGAGACTCCCTAGGAGCGAGGGTGGCCACGTGGCATACTTAAAACTCAGGATGCAATGCAAAACCAGGGATATGAATGACGGAAAGTCATTTCAGACTCATCTTGCCAGTAAACTCGTGGTAAATCCTATAGACTATTTTAAATCGGAAGGAAAACCTAATGTCCAGAGGGCATGCGCCTCAGGGGCTCTAAGTGTTAAGTACCTCATTTGTTTGCAAGTGGCCGAATTATTCATCTTGGCGTCTGACAGAAGGCTCAAAAGAACTGTGGGTCCTAACAATACAAGCAAAATGGGTAGCTTTGCTACATCACCATGCGAAAACGCATTGGGTACTCTCTATAATAAGAGCTAAATGGTTTTAGAGAAACTGCAAAAACATCCCAGGAAATCCCCCACTGTGTATCATTAGATAGTCGTTTCTGAAACAGTAGTACGAAGCTGTCTGCAGGCCCTTATTTGACCTCTTCTAACACTCTGTTGCTTCGGAGAATTTTCCAAGAAGGTGACCTTTCAACAAAACGCAATAAACTAAACAACCATGCAGCTACTCGCACTTGCATGAAAAGTATCAAAAAGTCTGGTTAATGACCATACAGAGGAACAACTTTACTGAAAAGATGAACTTTCTGAAGCAACACATGCTCTCAGAGAGACAGATACTATGTGACAAATCTACTGTTAACATGAAATGAGTAGACATCATGCTGAGATATGAATGTTCCACTTCATGTGATCTTCCTCAATTTCACAAGGGCATCTGACACCTGTCAGTGCCATCTCTTTCACAGAGTAGTCCAGGATGATATTGGTGACCCATTTATGTCATGGTGAGAGAATTATTTGGATAAACGAGCCATCTTCACCGAATTCAGACTACCCGTTCACCCAGCACTGCGCGTCATTAAGAGTTTCACAGGGTCCTATCCTAAATCCCTTAATGATTTTAATTTTCGTCAGTGATCCACAATGCCATCCTGACTGTCCAGCTCTCCTTCGTTCTGAGGTGCTTGGAGAGTAATAAGGTGTTTAGAGGACTGAAAGTTTAGGTGGGTTGGAAAATTCTGGGAGACTAGGTAGAAGCTAATCGTACGTTTTTCGGTCTAGAAATGCGCGAAGTGACGTAGCTAGGTACCTTAGCAAAACAGTGGGTAAGTTACCGCATGAATCACGAAAGCTTATCTTGTGCAGCCTAAAAGCGCAGCTTAGGTCTTGTTCGAACTCAATAACTGGACACAAATTTGGAGTGCCAGGAGACGTGGGAAGGTCATATTTGACAATACTCTTCACTCATAGGCAGTTAAGTGAACTCACTCTTGAAATTTTTCTGAGATTACATAAAACCTACTTATGGCTTCACCTTGAAGTGCACGGTTTCACTTCTCTGGTAATAGTTACAAGGGATGCAAAAGGGTGAAAGTATGTGGAAACAAAGTCTTTTCACGCCTGACATCCGGTAAATTGAAGGACACTTCATGACTTGTAACATGACAGTGTACTGTAACTATGCGAACCAAGGTATTCTTCCGTTAATTCACTGCTTACTTCCCCGTAGTAAACAACGAAGAGTCGCACGTCCGAGGTTTCCATTTCTCTAAGCATTGAGTTTGCCGCCAATGAATCTCTTCATCAGGATCTCTGGCTGCTGCACATTCTATGGAAAGCTCTAAGTGAGGCTGTATAATCATGCAGCAATACAAGGATTGTGTCTACACGCACAATCACTCCGAAGCCGACATACTACCGTCTATTGAGAGGTGTCATTTAAACTCTTTCTTGAACTCCTGTACACTTTCCCTCGTCTTCTGACTGTTCCACATATTCATTCGGTTTTTGTTTGTTCGTTTTTCCTTTAAAATCTACATAACCCCCCCATAGTAATACTACTATTGTCTTTCATTTCGGTCCCACCTTATGCCTAATGGGTGAAAAAGTTAACTTCACTCAAAGCGCATGATGCAAACGCTACATGGTCGACCTCCTCATTACTCCCCTTGGAGTCAGCGAGGCCACGTGTGGGTTTGCTAAAGATGAGAAACCTCTATCCTTCAACTGTGGAGTGAGCCCAGACAATTCACCTCGTTAACAGGAAATTGGAAATCAGTAGCGAAGAACGCATACCTCAGATGTTAATTGTAGCAAACCATCCATCGTTTATCTGAGGACCTTGGTGCTTGTAGCTCTGCAAGTAGCGGGTGAGTAAGATGAGAAATCTGTCTAGTTCTTGAAGCACCGATCCATACATTCAGCGTGACTGTGTGTGAAAATTTAGGTTCAGATTTTCAGATGTATTCACTGGGGGTAGAAGGACTGAAGCCTGTATTAACTCTTTTCTAATAAGTTTTGGCGTTTGTCTTAGGCCTTTTCGGAAGGGTTGGTTAAGAGATCTGACATCACTTCTCCTGAGAGTTATTTACAAGAGTTTATGACAGTGTGTAGAAACGGTACTCCAATTAGGAAAGTATATATTGACTGACACTTCAGCGCGTGTACTGCATTTGCTTACATCTGATGAGTGAAGTGATAAATGAAGCTTAAAAGCACTTAATAAGGTAACTTGAACAACTGAGGGTTGAATTAAATAATATTTGTTATGTGTCATCACGTCTCAGAAATTTAGCTTAAACCGCGGTTTTAGACATCAACTTTCGATTTCGTGACAGAGGTTAGTGGTAATGTCTAACGCTCACAAAGTACTTCAAATATCTTTGTTTGCTTTCAAAGTGTAGTAAGACGAAGTTATTTTCGTGCCTAACTTTTTGTGAGGAGGTTTGGCACTGGTAATCAAATGTGGGGTATTGATGTATGTCATAATGGTTTTGACCATTCAGATTTTATTAAGCAAGTTAAGGTTTTCTGTTCATTTGACACTTATTTGTCTACAAGTTTAATGGAGTCCACTAGATAGTGACTAAAACTGCAGTCTGAGTATATTCTGTGGATGCACACTCGTGTATTTAGGAACAAGGCTGTAGATGTAACAATGCTACATAATATGTACGGTTGGTTGTTAAGTGTTTAACCACTGGTTTGAACAGTTTCAATTAAGAGTTACCAGGAGTTATTTGAAGAAAAAAGAGCAAAATTTCTTACTCACTGGAACACAAAAGTTATTGCTTTTTTGGTTATAAACGATAAAGTCTTCGAAAAATCTCAGTCTGTCATTTACTAGCAAAGATTTCAGGTCAACTATTTTATTGGTAATGCCGATTATACCATTGTACGGATGTCCAATAACTTTTTCAATAGTTTTGGACCATTTTAACGTGACTTATTTTTCCTCATTATTGACTACCATTAGTAAATATCCCGTTTCGTTCATAATCCGTGATATACTTTTCTTTTCAGTCAGGTTTTGTGCAGAAACGAACATATTCATGTAAGTGGATGGTGGATTTTACCCTTCCAACTGCAAATCATTCTACGTATCTCCAAATGATATGAATCTTCAAGATTTTTGAAACAAGGAGGATGGGTTAATTCATCAGTAACTTTATTATCATCATCTGGTCATATGCTGTATGGTATTCCGTGGATATTTGTTTCGGTGCTTTTTATTTTCACCGAAGTTATTGTACATGTGATAAACTTGAGAGTTACCCACAATGCATCAATCCCGATCACAACTGAAGCTAAAAACTTACGTATTCTCTATCGTTTCTACCAACCTGAGAATCTTGAGTATTTGTACGTTGCAAGTGTGAACTCGATCAAACAATATAAAGTTGGCAATTTGCAATTTGTAACTGAGCGCATTACTGGTCCGCGTAATTTTTCTATTTGCTGTCCATATGATGGAGATAACTATGAAAAGTGTTCTCATGCGGATCGATCTTCCTTACCTTTTGATTATGGATATGATTCTTGTCTTCCTCGCCCAACTGATAATTATGTGAAGACATGGGGTACTTCAGGTTCACCAGGTCCTGAAATACACAGTTTTAACTACTCTGAATGGGATTTTGAATCTCAGTCTGTAAATGATGATCGAATAACTTTTGAAGACAGTTTATATGTGTGCCATACGCTTTATCATGGTTACTGTGAACGACTTAATTTAATCAATGTTAGCCAAGAAGCCCCGTGGTCTGCTGGTGCCCGACTTCCTTTAATGGACAGAAAAAATAAGAATCCAGAAGAAATACCAGTTGTTGGATCACTTCCTCATACACATTCTGTGCTTGTAGTTGGTTCAGAATATATTTACGTAGCTACAGAACCTGATGGACTCGAAGATCTCTCACTTATCAAGTATAATCCTCTAACCGTACGTTTAAAGGACTTTCAATTATGTAGCACTCCACCAAGTTTTGAAAGTAGCGCACAGTTATCAACAAACCCAAGCTTGAAAATACAGTATAAGTCAGGTTTTCGATATAGACCTCCACCAACTAACCTTGAATTTCAAGAGCAACTTTTCAGACCGCCTTATATATTTTTCGTTCTCCAACAACCCGAGGATTCTACGTTTTTACGGTGGCAGTCACGCATAGCTCGGATTTGTGATGGAGATAAGTTTATCTCCTCATATGCGGAACTTAATATTGCCTGCTTTCAATGTGAAACAGTAAAGGACGATGAAAAGGTAAGTATTTGACGTTTCGCTTACCGATATACTTATGCTTGCTGGTTCTGATTCATAATTAATTCAACTTGACCAACTGCATAGTATTATTAGCAGTCACGCAAATATGACAGCCTAGAACATGAAAAATGTGTTCTGGGTAACTAAGTCTTAGCTTATTAGATTAGAAATGTTAAGCATCTGCTCTAAATTTAGATATTTAAACGCCTATGATGGTCTTATAGAAATTCATTGCTTGGTGATACTTTACAAGAATGAAATCAATTGCAAGCTCACGGGAATTAAATCTGAACATGATTGTGAACAAGTTTTAGGTAGTTGTCTTTCTCATCAATTTTAAGTGTTTACAGCAATTAGCTCCCTTTATCAATTTCTATAAAACAGTAGAAAGACATGCAACGTGTTTCTGAAAAACAAACGTAGCTGGGTCTTATTACACAACTGATAAAGACACCTTAATATGAACACGGAGAAATTCAAATTTAGCCATAGTAATGAAATTGTGCAAAGTTTACGGTTGATTTTAGTAGTGAAGATCGGAATCACTTGATAACGTCTGTAAATATCTAAATGAGGACGAATGGATAAGAATCGTCCAACTAACCGTTACACCACTGACAAGAATAAAGAAGTCTACAACTGAGAACATACTCTGCTTATTGGTTAACAATACTGTGACTTAATGTAATTTCAAATTTGTAATACGACCTAAAATCAAATACTCAATCCATTATAAAAGGTTTACACGTGAAAATCAGAAACACCATCCTTCTAGTCTTTTGTAAAATTAAATTTTTAAAGTTCTTAGGCTAATAGTATCAAGAAATACAAACCCAACTTTTTCTGCATGACCATGTCAAATATCAAAATAACCACTATTATAGTAGACTATTAAAGGTGTACATCGATCAGAAGTTCCGACATAAAAGCATAGATTTAACTAGACCTCTGACACGCTCACTAAATATTAAACAGTCTGTTTGTTCTGTGAATAAGGTATTTGCCTCCGATGGGTTATTCACGAATTTCCAGAGTGATTTAGGCCTTGTTTGGCCGGTAAAATGTCTTTCAGGCAATAATTGTGTAATAGAACTACTGGATTAAAAGTGCTGCATAAACTGGACTTTTGCTTACAAACAACGAAGAAAGCTCTTACGACAGTATTTTCATTAACTTTGAAAACATGATTTATCATAAATTCATTATTGTCAGAAAACCAAGCTACACATTCTTAGTGCAGACCCATACTTGTAATAAATGTGAATAAAGGAATGTCGACGGCTGGTAAGTTTCAGCTGCTCACAAACTTCTACCATGTTTGTAAATATCACTGTAAGAAATTGTCGTGTGAGATTTCTCCGTTGTTTGTAAGCAAAAGTCCAGTTTATGCAGCACTTTTAATCCAGTAGTTCTATTACACAATTATTGCCTGAAAGACATTTTACCGGCCAAAGATGGCCTAAATCACTCTGGAAATTCGTGAATAACCCATCGGAGGCAAATACCTTATTCACAGAACAAACAGACTGTTTAATATTTAGTGAGCGTATCAGAGGTCTAGTTAAATCTATGCTTTTATGTCGGAACTTCTGATCGATGTACACCTTTAATAATCTGCTGTAATAGTAATCTCCTAGTTGGTGAGAAATTGAAACGTAGTGATCAGACGTAGCTACACTTTTAAGTTGTTTTCCATACGAAGAGATGTAATGCCAACAACATAACCAGGTATGTTGTGTGGTTCCTGGTATTAGATGATTTCTTGTTCAAGTCAGTTTTGCAACTTTTAGTTGGCAGCAATTAGTCTCTCGTCAACATATTTTTAAATCATGTATTCAAAGAATCAGTTGTGTTTACTTCTGAGTCATCGAATCTACCCCTGATCATAAATTTTTATGTCTTAATGTTACTTGGTTCAATATGAATTCTCCTGTTTAAATCACATTTTCTCTTGATTTACTCATTTAAAAACCTCGTGAGCTGATCACGTGAAATACCGTGGCTGTTGTTTGCTTTGGATGAATAGATTTTCGTATTCACATACATCCTACTTGTGCCAAATCGATTTCGTCTATAATTGATTGCCTTAATAAAAACAAACATTTATTCACTCGGTTTCATATCTGCAGTACGATCGAAAAAATGAACTTCGTATCTTTCATGTCAACAAACACATTTCATACAAATAACCTCATATTTTAGTGTTGCCTCTTACTAATAACTTTTATAAGAATTATAAACTTTGGTCCGTGTGTCAAAATTATATCATATTTACAGTATTCTGAATAAAATTTAAGACTGAATTTTTATTGAATATAAAACTGAGTAAGCGTATTATTAGTTGACAGTGTACAACATTAAAATATGTATTTCATTACACTTTGGTGGCACGCAAAACTATTTGATTTCTTTTTCACTCATATAAAAATAGCGAAGTTAGCTACTTAGCTATCCCAATTAAAAACTGTTCCGTTATTTATCCTTTATATGATTCAGCATTTCTATTTTGTCTTTAAATTACAATTTCCAAGTAGCATTTTGAGCACGCCATTATGTGAGTGGAAAATAAAGGTAGCATGATTGTCAAAGGGAATATGCAAACTACTGATTTCAAGTAGCTAGTTAACTTGAATATGTTTCGCCTGAGCAGCTCTGATAAAGGTATAGCCGAGTTGCATTTCATTCAACGAAATGCATTAATTGTTTAGAATGCATACTAGCTAGATTTCTGAGACACCTTACTGTGCATAACAATGAGATTGTGAAGCATTCTGGTCTGTAAGATACGATATTTGCCTAGAAGTCGTTAGTCGTGATTCATCCATGCATCAAAAAGATAATTTCTCAAAGGATATGTACATAGTAAATAAAATATACTCACTTCGTCTTAATAGCATCCGATGTTCTTCACTGTTCAAAATCTTCATCCAATCATGATCTCATTCTGTGTTCTGATTCGAAACCTTGATGGGAACTGCCCGACCGTGATTATACAGATGCCATTGTCTTACTATGCGATAGCATACATACTGTTAAGTTGCACTTTGGCAGTGATGTCTTGGTACATCAATTTTTGATGGTGTGTTCATGTGATGCAAATGCTTCCGTGTTGTTCACTGTTTGATAGCCCTGATATTTATCGGGGTAAACGAAGAGACGGTCAGCTCACAAAGTGATATCATGAGATGAAAGACACTTGTTTCAGGCTGGGATTTTTGGAGAGGGTCCTAGAATTCATGCAGTCTAGTAGCCCCAGAAGCAATTTGATGTAGGTCAATCAAAATTAGTGGCGATTATGGTTTAGCCTTAATGTTTCTTCCACTGTCGTAAAGTAATTAATTTCATTTCACGATGTTATATATCTCACAATAATACTAATATTAGAAGAGCATTTACCAGCAAAGAAATTCTTTCTGTAACTTCTCATCAAAGTTGTAGGGTTAAATAGTGTTTCTATAAGACAAATGCTGAGAATTCCATTCTGTGTTATAAGTACTGTTTTTGGAATAAAGTAAATTATTATTATTATTATAATATATCTATAGAGGTTAACTGTTAATATCGCAAAATCATGAATCAGGAAGAGAAATTGAATAAGTTGTGGAACTTGGTTAAGTAGTTTTATGTAGTCTAGCAACATTAAATGATGAATAGCGTTCAAAAATTGTCACCATAAAACTAAGAGCTTGGGAACAGGAGTACTGTTCATAAGCTGAGAAGATTCATAGTATTTATAAACTATGTTAAGAAGTTGGGAGTTTTTATAAGAAAACAAAACGAATGAAGGAGAATTACACAACAAATTATTGTACATGTCGACGAAAAGGTTTAAGGTTGCGACATTGAAATGGATTGGATAAACGGCTTTTGTGTACACACTTCAGGGTTTTTCTTGTGTTTGGCAGGCGTTTCCGCTGTGGGCAGAATACGCGGTCGAAAAGCCCTTGAATGACCTAGCCCTATTCTACTTATCACTTCCTACTGATGCAGGTGGTGTGTAAAAACAATGTGGTTAAGAATTTACCTATTGTTTCGTCTAGTTTCTGCTTTTGACAAACGTAAAGGAAGATGTTTTTGTGCATATCTAGACAATATCCAACTGATACACATCCTGTCAATTAGGAGAATGTGATTGCAAAAAATCAACTTCGGTAATTAATAATTTGTAGGCCTTATCTTGTAGAACCTGGATTCGCTTTCGGTCATATCTTCTCTTAGTTACTCATATAGTATCTATTTTGTCAATGTAGATGGCACTTTTCTTACAGGTCTTATATTTTCAGTACTTTGTTTACTTTTACGGCATCGAAAGCATTGTAAAATCATATAAATGATTACAATATGTTTGCTTATCATTCTCTTCTTATATTAATAGAATAATCGCTTCTTTGAGTGTGCGTTATGAGAACCTTGGTCATTCAGTTAGAATTAATTTCCTCTCTCCCTTTTAGTAGTGGATGTACCCCATTGGCACTACCACTTGACTTCTAGTCATGTTGTCTCTGATTCTAATCTAGCCTCATCTGTTTCAGCTTAGGAGACTAGATAGCTTTATCAATAGTCGCATAATATATGTCTCATAACTTGGCATATGAAAAACTTGATCATGGCAACTGAGTTTTTAGTTTGCCATTTTATAGTGTTTGTTTGTGCATTCCTTGTAACTCATGTTGGCTCATATTTCTGTTGTAAGAAAATGAGTTATCTTATACCTGCCTTTATTAGAAACTAATTTGGCATTAAATTATGAGTCATTTAGTGAACTTTTCATTATTACATGTCGATTTTTTTCAGAGATGTTTTCACTAACCGTGTTAGCATACTACTAAATCTTTTTTTATTGCAACAAGAGAATTCTCAATAAAAAAAGACTATAGAGCAGATGATTTAATAATGATTTAATGAATAACTGTAAACATATTTATCAGTCACTAACTCATACTTTTTATATAGGGAACTGTTTTGCCTCTTTCCGTAGCTAAGTTAACCTTCACAGGTGAACTTTTGATCGAAAATTTAATCGACGTGATAAATGAACTGGAAACTAAGTATGGTACAAAAATTTCACTTGATAGTCAAAACTTATCGTTTATAGAAAACAGAGGGGTCAGAGAATTGTTTCTGAATATATTTGCTGTAGTTTAAAAAAGTGGAGCAAAACTGTCTAGTGTAGAAAAAAACTAGTAAAGGTTTCAGTATGTGTTGCACAACAAATTCTAATTTTTAAAACTCCCTTTACAAATATTGATTGTCCAGTCTTGTTAACTTTGAAATGTGAGTGTATTTTGTTTAAAGAAAGTATTCGATTCCTCTGGCCAAACTTAGGGAAAATTGAATTCTTCTGCCTATTGATAATTTTGAACGATCTTGCGATGTCCATCTGATGACCCGTGTCAAGGAGATGCCTGGAGATGGATGGCACCGTTGAAAGCATTTGTCCCATTAAGACATACGCTTTTTGGTACATGTTCAGAAAATCGGAGGTGTGTCCTTCTTCCTTTTCTCCCAATGTAACTACTCCTGCAGATACACGTAAATGTGTATATACAGTTGGAGTTAACATGAGAAGATTATCTGTCGATTTTTGATTGCACCGAAGAGTAAGTTGTTCGATAGTTGGGAACCAGCTTAGCTACAGAATAGGCTTTGGCTCCATCAAGCGCCTGAAACCAGTTTATGCGTTCGGAAAGAAGTGGTTATCAGTCTTCCCTTGCCCTGGTAACTAGATATTTTCAACCTCTCTTCTACCTGATTGCGCAATGCTTAAAGTTTCCATTGTGTATGATCATTATTGTTTGGGATAAAGTGCTTATTATTATATATATTATTATTGTATGCATATATTGATTGACTGATTTTTGTTTGAAAATGAACTCTGTGCAAGTATGTTAAAATTGTTTCTGTGGATATACCTAATAATGACTTTGAGCTGTAAGCAGCTGATGAGAAGCCAACGAAATAAATGATGATAGCGTTTTATCCTGCAGAACTGTTGTTCTTGCTTTGGTCAAATTCACTAAGGGGAATAAATGTATTAAGTAATTATAATTTCTTTGTTATGTGTGAAGGACTAACTTTCTTAAACTCTTTGAAAGGAGTATAACAATAGTATTTAACTGTAACAAGCTTTTCGATTCAAAATGATGTACATTATTTAGAAATCTAACAATTTACATTATTTATACAGCTACAATAAGAATAATAGTGTGTATTTAAATAGTAATTATCTCCTAGATTCATCAGTAAAGTGACCTCAGTAAAAACAAACTATTACTACTACTTCTACTGCTCTATAATTAACATGATTTTCTATGCTGTAATTTTATTTTGTACAAGTATGAAGAAGTCAGAAAGACCGAAAATAATGTAACTATTTAGCGCATAGTTTAACTGTAAGTGATACTTCATTCATCCTACTTATGCCTGTACTTTCTGGAAATGTGCTCCAGAAACTGACTAGACTAGCTTCACTTTTCGAAACTCTGTGAAAAATAAACTGTAATTAATTAAATGAAACAAAGTGACAAAAATGTATTTGCGCTATACATTTCGAACAATCTGATCACACATTTACTTGTCAAGTCAATTAATTAATGTTTTATTTAACTTTTATATTATTCGTCTGGAAATGAATATTCTTTGACCCCTAAGCAGAGTTAATTTCGTGTTTAAGTAACTATGAAAGACAGAAACATGGTCAGCAGAGGAACAATGCTTCAAAAGTATCCCATTCAAGTACCTGCAATCTATTCATAGTGGCCATGGGTCTTCTTATTTTACAAACAGGTCACTTCACAGTGGCATAATTTGCACTTGACTTACAATCATTGGGGCCCGGGTTTGAGTCCCACAACTGAGTAGTATCTTCTGCCATCACACAATATAAGTGTGCCTCATAGTCCGGTACATGAACTGAGTTCAAAAAAGGCACAGTGTACACGTTGCTTCAAATATAGCTTGCACAGATTAAGTCTGGTAAAATAATATGCACATTTTATACTGGAAATCTTATTCTTTTTGTTTTGACGAAGAACTGATTTGGTCACTAGATAAGTGGAATAGTTAATACATTCAGCCACTTCACTTCCTTCACCTGGAAGAGTCCATCTGAGTGAAATCTGCTTCCCAGCAGTAGTTGTATCATACCGAGCTATGTCTCGATAGCCAGCCATTCAATCATCCATATCTCGATGGATTGGTAGATAAATTATTTGTAAAGATGGAATGTTTCATGGTTTGTTCTCGTCCTTGCCCAAAGGCCATGTAATCTTCATGATGTCCTAATTTTACTGTATTTCCTGGTAAGATGACTGCTTTCCGTAATTGGTTTTAAGTGTTTTCGTAGTATTACTACTTATGAATGGTAGAACCACAGAGAAAGTTATGTGAGAGTTGAACAATATACAGCGCCAGAAGAAGTGGATAAAGCCTTCGACTTTATACGCACATTTAAATGTTGACTTTAAGCTGATATAAGCATATTTTTCACTATGGTTCTTCAGGCTATGTATTTTTAATTTTAAATGTAGCTATTCTGAGAGATTTCTGTTTACAAAATTCTTTACATGCATTATCGGCCCTAAGGAATATTCAAATCAATAACAGTATCCCTTTGTGCACTACAAGATACATGTAATACATGTGACACAGTCTTCGTTGTGATAAATGGTTTTATTTAGTTTGTTCTGAGAAGAATGAGACAATAAATTTATTCACATAAAACTATTTTTGTAAATTTCAATCTTACCAATATTTTTATATGCCTTCTATGAATTAAATACAATTTGCATTTATTTGATAAATAGATGTTCAACGCCTTACGCTTCGCTTCTCGTGGTACTGTTGGAAAGCAGTTAGCTGATGAACTTCTTCTTGATTTCCAGACAAGAAATTATGATATTTCGCATTCAAGAAGTGATTTAAATGCTTACAATGATTTTTCTGAAGTGCTTCTGGTTGCCTTTGCTCCACAACCTGTTGATCCGGTATATTATTGGTCTAGAAATATGAATCCAGAAATGGACCTACCAAATGGACAGTATAATTCTGATAGGTTGCATGAACGTGGATCGATTCTCCTAGCTGGATCTGCTATTTCCATGTTTTCTATGGCAGAGGTATTTTTGAATTATTATTATTATGTGTTATTGTTTTATTTTTCTCATAGTAATTTGGTAATATTTGTTTAGATACCATTGTAACAGAAAATGCTTTTGCTTGAACCCTGTACATATCCATCTTGCTTTTTTTCTTCTGAAAAACTCGTCTAGTTTTCATATATTGTCTGTAAAGCACATCTTTGTGTAGTTTGAATGGAATGTGGTACTTTCAGTTGTGAACATTCCATTACGTTCGTCGTCTTGTGAATATATTTATAATAGTTCTGTTTAGAAATTATCTAACTGAAACTATTTGATTGTGAGTATTCGAAAGCTTTTCACTAAAAGTAAGGAATCGGTTTGAAGGAGAATTCTTACTTTAGAGTATATTTATTCATTTATTTTATTATTATTTATATTTCGATTGTATCATTCACTAGTAATAAACAAAGTGGAAACAGAAAGTAATTGTAAGGTTTGATTTAGATTGCAATACTGTTATAGATATGGAGAATGTTTGTTCTTGTAGGCTATGAGTCATTCAGCAATATATTAACCACGCTCATATTTTGTAGTCTAAAATCAAAAAGTGTTTCGGTATCGCAATATGATTTCAAAAAAGGTCGTTAAAAAATAAATTTGTCATTCTCTGTACATAATAAAATCACTATACACCTCACACGAATGATTTACATCATAAGTATAATGAAGCAACAGTTATTCTTTGTGTTCCTCTTCTTCTTCTTCTATTTTTAATACCAATAAGTTAATTCACTTGGAAATCCATTTTATTTTTGTGTGAATGCATAACTCCTCTTGAAAGATCATCTAAATTTTCTTATTTTTCTTGTTTTGTTTAAGGTGAATGCAAAATTTGATCGTGTCATTATGGATTGCTTAAATGGAGAAGGTATGCGTGGACCATCACACTTTTTGCATTCAGCAGATCGTGATAAACCTAGGTGTGTTAAAGATGAACACTTTGTAAGTGAAATTTTTCTTCTCACGTTGATTTGTTTTGCTTATTATTATTACTATTATTAACTGGTGTAAACATTTCCTCTTTTGTGGATTATACATTTGGTATGATGATATATAAATACTGTTTATTTATCCATTATCTAGGTGTAGTGTAATTTTTTCTCTTCTTTTTTTTTCATACTTCAGAAAAATTTTATATATGATTGTCCTAATGAACCACGATCTAACCCGTTTATTACTGGCCATGGTCCAGATGATGATCTATCTGCTCCTGCATTCTTGAATTTCGAGTCAAATGTTACTGGCATGGCTATAACTGCTGTATCGAATAATTTCACTGTCGCAGTTTTCACAACAGATGACGGCTATCTGTATAAGGTATGTATCTGTCATTTGTTTCAAATATTTGTCCTTTACTTGTATTTCAACCTTATATTATCAAAATAAATAAATAAATCCAAAGTCTTCTACTTTATGATATGTATGTATCTGTTTGAAAATGGACTAGCTGCATTTTCACAGGTAGTATTTACCGTTGGTACTGTAGGTAATCCATGTGCATTATTGTTGTGCTTCCTGATGTTACTGAGTTTGATTCATAGTGCAATCGTCCTGCAATCTACGGAGTCTGTCAGTATTATTCACTCAATTTTATGAACTGACACTTATACATGTTTCTTTTGTCTTTTTTTGGCTCAGAATTTCTAGTATTTCAATCAAAAAGAAAAATTTTATTTTTAATAAATTTACCAACATTATATCTTGCATTGAGAAGTGATTGTTTTGTATGAATAGTTGGTACTTAACTCTCCTCTCTTTTTGGTTGAAGATGTGGTCGTATTGTTAAATCTAAGTTCACTTGTACATTTTCACTTTTGTTGGTAACAAAAGCTTAAATTTTTCTATGTTTTTTTATCTGTTTCTGATACAGACTGTTTGGCATGAAACTATGTTGGTTCTAATAAATCTCTTGTTTGTCTGTTTTACTATATTTTTTGTAAATAATTTTTTTTCCCTCTTTTTGATACACAGTATGAATTAATCGGCCTTGGCAAAGTTCATCCTTTAGGATCATTACAGTTAGTTCCAAATGGTAAACCAATAACAAGTTTAGCTTTAGACTATACTGGTACTATAGCCTTTGCGTCATCATTTCAAAAGGTTAGCTTTGCAATTGTTTTTTTTGACTGTATTTTTGATTAATCTTTGATTTTCGTATGTCTAATGGTCAGAATACATATATTTTACAACTACGATTCCCAGTGGAACATAGGGCTCCAAGCTAGAGACTTGAAGTTTCGGTAGCAGTGGTGTTTACTTTTACGGGATGGGGTTGCTACCCTCATGCCCAACCTTCCCTCTTTACCAGACCTATTACTGGCTTGGCGAGGTAAAGGAGTGCGTCGACCGATGATTGAACCCCGAACCACCTGCGTGGTCGGCGAGCATTCTACCGCTGCGCCATTGACGCCTATATAGATAATGTTTTGCTGTTCAAATACACAATTCAAAACGCATTACATGTCAGGTCAAAAAATTTTTAACAAAATGTTTCATTTAAAAGCAGTGCTTCTATAGTCGATCTCATATTGTTTTTTATGATGGAGAAAAGAAATAACAACACGTTTCCACTCATTGCACGTAATCCTGAAAGGATGTAAACCGAACAAACATTTCGAATGAGATATTATCACAAAGTGAGAGGTGAAACTGATCTAATGGTTTCTAAATACAAGTTTTCATTCTCTAACACTTACTATAAACTACTGTTTACCAATTCCTGTCTTTCTAGAAGTGATTATGATATAGTCGCTTTGTATTAGTAATTGAGGAGGTATTGTATTGTTGTTTTTTGTCACATGAAGTGCATGGTCGCGTTAAGATGATCCAGAAAGTTTGGTTAATAGAGGAACTGTCTGTCATTGCATTCAGTTAAGTTTCTCAGTGCATTTTTGTTTTGACGTTTGCAGAAAGGAATTAAGATTTAATAGTTTACTTTAAGTATATCTTGGTTTTCTACAATATGCTAATAACCTAATAAGGTTTCTACTGCTTTTTTAGTCTTAAGCTGTTTGTAGTTGAGTTTATGACAGTGTGTGAGGATGGAAAATGAATGTACATATATTCATCTTGGTGGATATTGAAGGGTATATACTCTAGATTTCACAGGTTAATGCATTAGTTATTTCCGATTTTTCACAATTATCTTCATTATCATTACAGCTGAAAACTGTTCACTTTTTCCTACTAAACCGAATGTGTTTCTTACATCTTTTGTTAGATTTATCGCGTTGAATTATCTAACTGTTCAGCCTACTTAACATGCAAATCTTGTTTAAATGCTCGTGATCCGTATTGTGGTTGGTGTATTGCAGAAGGTCGATGTTTATTGTTTCACCAGTGTCCCTTAGCAGTGCGTTTCTCCAGTTCATCTCGTGTTGACAAATTTAACGGTTTGTTGAAGAAACGATCTATGAATGGATTCTCTGGCAGCAGATTCCCCAGTTCATATCCTGTATTTTGGTTGCATTATAATATTTCAACTGACAAGTGAGTTTTATATTTACATACATATATACATAAACTTAAATGTGTTTTGCAAATTAACCAGTTCGGGGAAAAATTTACTACAGAACTGTTCAGAATTTGAATAGTTTGAACTTATTTAGCCCTCTGAGCTATATCTAACTAACGCACACTTCTGATGATGTTGACTGCAAACATACGAAATGGCAGTCTAGTATCTACATCACTTTGATCTGGCTAGTACCTACTACTGGTTGATGTCAATGGTTCAAAACTGCTCGTATCAGTCAGCGGCACATACCATGAATCTATATAGTTATGTTTGAAGACATTCCGTGTAATTCAGGTCTGTTTAATGTTTATTCAACCTACTTTTTACTCATTGATATTGTAAGATAATTTCACTGGGACTTTATTTCGATTTCAGTTTTCTGTTTACGTGGTTACCTGTTGGTTTAACTTATACCGGAGATTCTCTTGCTTGTACTTTTTAACCATAGGTGTCCAGTAATAAGTCAAGTTAGCCCTCCTGGTATTCACGTTGGTAAAGTCTCTGTAACCGGAAATGGAAAAGATGCCACATTCAAGGATGACAGTCATTATCGTCAACAAAATATTATTCTAAGTTTGGATACATTGCTTCTATCGAATTCCAATTTACAGGAAGAATATTTTTCCAGGAAAAAATCTCATCAGATGCATTCTTTTGGTGATTTGATGTACTCATATCGCCCATCAAGCGGTGTAGGTAGTGGTGGTACTGGAGCTCGGTTGTTTTGCAGTTTTCGAGAAGCACCAATATCAATTCTTCAACATGAACCATTGATTTCTGGAACATTGTCAAATTTCGATTTAAATAAAATTTTGGTGAGTGTCCCACAAACACCACTTATTACGCGAACTGTGGCTGAGCTTTCTTACACTTCTGGAAAGCCTGTAGAAGCACACTGTTTATCACCAGTAGCTTCAAAACTACCTCGTCTCGAGGATGATAAAGGTAATTTGACAAAGCGTTACTTTTCCACCCATATCCCTTTTCATTGAACATAATTTATTTTTACTCTGTGTGCATTTGTAGCAGACCAATCCTTCAATCTTTTCTGACAGTTAAATTCTTATGGTCCAGTAACTCTTTTGAAATCAAGTGCATTATACTATCTCTTCCTTTGGTATTTCATTGGAACTGTCATCTCATATTATACACCATCACATTTAAAAGCAGTCTCAATGACATGATAAGCTGCATCCATAATTTTATTCTTAGACTTGAACTAATTCACTTATTTTCATACGCATAATATAAACTAATCTGGGAAACACTGACATGTGTCGTTTCCCGAACCATTAGTTTTCTTTCAACTTCTTTGAATTCATTAACAGTTAGATAGTCTGATGAAGCGAAAATTACTAATTGCATGCTCCACTGTCAGTATATCTTACTTAAACTGAATTAAAAGTTTTCATTCACATTGGAGAACTGAAATGCGCTGCTGAATAGTAACTGCAGTTGCATGAATTACTGCCTTCTTGCATCTCTTATCCTTTTGGATGAAAATACTGTAAACCTAGTCATTATACATTCAGTGAACTGAATCTCGTCCCCTTCAACTGAAGTTTAAAAAAACTCACTCCACTCAACAGCAACCACACTAGAAGGTACAGAATAGCACTCATTTGACAGCAGCATGCAAAAACACAATCTACGCCAATCAAACTACCCGCCTCAGAGAATATGATCAAATCAGTAAAGGAATACGCACCGAAATATCCTAGTTTGTTATACATCTTTATTAAAAAGACAATTGCAGCGAAGAAAATTTTCTTTTCGACGAAGTCATCATCTAGGCTGTACATTCGTGTATTTATATCAAATGGATAGGAAAGTTCCAGAATAATTTCTGGTTAGGGGTCAAATTAATAAAAAAATCACAATTAGGAATTAAAATGACATAACAAACAGGGGATGGTAAACTTATTAACTTAACTTATTATTAACTTATTATTATTATTATTAACATCTTTATTAATTACAGTTTGTAATTCAGGTGATTACTTGTTTTTCAGAGTTGATGGAGTTGCCATCCAATACTGACTATGAAACGTGAAACTCAAAGATGTTTAGGAAAAAGCATTATTATTACTTCCTTTAATTCCTAGAGGAACATAGGGCTTCAGCCGTGCGTCTCCATTGCGTTCGGTTCTCTGCTAGAGTCTTCACCTGGCTCCAAGTCTGCCCACACGTTTTCATCTCCTCTTCACATGACCTCCTCCAAGTCACCCTTGCACTGACGACCAACTCGCCGCTTCCCTTTCGGGTTCCACTCGAGCAATGGCTTGTCTAGTGATGTCACTTGATGGTTTGTTTCCTCAGAGTATGGCCAGCCAATCCATCTCCATTTCTTCCTGCCTATTTGTTTCACAATCGGTTCCTGCTGTGTTGGTTCGCTCATTGCCAGAGATCTCTGTTACTGATCTTTTCTGGCCGGCCATCTGATCTTGAGTATTGAGCGAAGACAACTGTTAATGAAGGTCTGTAGTTTGTTTGAGATGCTCTTTATGACGCGCAGTGCAAGTCTCTGATCCGTATAGTAGCACTGACTGACTTCACATTGGAGTTGAAAATCCGGATCTTATTTTTGATGCTGAGTGCTGTTGACCTCCACACAGACTTGAGAGTAGTGAAAGCTTGTCTTGCTTTTCCGATTCTTGCTTTGATATCCTCGTCAGTTCCGCTGGCCTGTAGTTGAAACGATGCTTCCCAGGTAGGGTAGGTAAAGGAGGTTGTTTCTTTCAGGTTCCTTCCATTTATGCTGATTGTTGTCTGTTGTTGTTGTTGCTGTTTGTGGTGTTGCCCAGGAATCTTCATCACCTCTGTTTTCTCTATGTTCACCTGAAGTCCTATCTTTGATGCTTCTTCTGCCAACTTGTTGCTTTTCACTTGCATATCTTCCAGTTTGTGGGAAATCAGGCATATATCATCGGCGAAGTCCAGATCCTCCAAGTTTTTTGTGTGAGTCCATTTTATGCCTGTTTTCTCATTGCCCGCTGTTTGTCGCATTATCAAATCTACTGCAATCAGGAAAATCATTGGCGATAGTAGGCAGCCAGCTTGTCTTACTCCTGTCCTCACTTCGAAGGATTCCGTAAGTTTCCCGTTGTGGATTACTTGGCATGCACCATTGTCGTGCAGCTGTTGGATGAGATGTATAATTGTCGGTGGCACCCCATAGTTGCCAAAGCACCTCTCGATCGACTCTGTCGAAGGCCTAGGAAAAAGCATACTGGTCTTTATGTATATATATGTATATTACTTCAGTAGTTCATAACTGCACCAGTATAATTCTTGTTATTGAATTTGGCCTGCAAATGTTCTTTTTCTTTAGTTTCTTTGCCGTTATTACTGTGGTTAGAAAAAGTGAGTGTAACTGGTTCTGGCACAGAAGTTGTCGGTGCACTTGCTCCTGCTGTATTCTCTATTTATAATTGTTCTCAGCTCAAAGATTGTAAATCGTGTGCACGAAGTCGATTTATATGTGCTTGGTGTTTATTTGAAGATCTGTGTGTTCCAGCTTTTCCAACAATCTTATCAGATGGAGAGATAATGAACACTGTGTGCAAAGGTCCTTCATATAATAGTTCTACTTCTTATGCGCAAATGAATTCTGCATTTGAAATTATTCCTGCCGGTCATGTAAGTCGATCAATATGTACAAATTGTTCATATTTCTAAATATCTTTTGATTATTATGGTATTTGTATTTACATGTTCCAGCATTTGAAATGGTGAGTCATTTGTGTAAATCATGCTGAACTCGTAAGTTCGCCTTATCACAATTGACGTGAAAATTAAGGTATACAATAATGTTCACATGTTATGCAATTAAACACACAAAAATGACTATTGTGTCTGTTTAAGTAGTATTTATAAAGCAGGAATCTGACTTTGAGACCTAGGTATATTGAAAGGAAGTGATTTGTAAATATTTGTAAGTGTGATCAACATAATTCTTTGAAATATTCTGATAAAACACGTTTAAAGTGGTTATTAATGTAATGCATACAGTGAAAGTTTTGCGAGATTTATTTGTTTACGCATTGTCATCGAACACAGTCTAGAATAGAATGGCAGCCAAACCTGTACCTTAACTTCATCGACTTCGAAAAGGCACTTGACAGTGCAGCGTTGACCGAGAAGTAATTTGGGAACTACTTCAACACTACGGCGTTCAATGCCCAAATCTTTATCAAACGCATTCAACAGCTATATGGCAATGCCACGTGTTAGGTGATCTACAACGGAAAACTCAGCGAAACTTTTTAAGTGAATACAGGAGTAAGACAAGGGTTGTTGCCTATTATCACCGATGATATTCTTAATTGTGGTGAACTGGATTATGCAGAAGACTGTCCACAGGGAGCGAGAAGACCGGAATACGTTGGACCACCGATAATAAAACTCTAGCAGATCTAGATTTCGCAGATAACTTGTGTTCGCTGTCAGACAAACTCGAAGATTTACAGGCGAAAACCAACAAATTGGCTGAAGAAGATGAGGAGACAGGACTGCAGGTGAACTTAGAGAAGACTGAGCTGGTCAAGATTAGCTACCCAGAGCAACCAGCACCAATCACCATCAACGGGAGAGATTTAACAGAGGTTTCTTCCTTCGCTTATCTGGCCAGAAAGCATCGTTTCAGGTAGAACGAATGAAGTTGTCAAAGCCAGCCTGAATCGGAAAGGCAAGATACGCCTTCATCAACCTGAAACCATTTTTGAAATCTTCTGAACTCCGCAGCATGAAGAAGAAAGTTCCGATTTTCAATACAAATGTGAAGTCAGTCAGTTCTTCTATACGGGTCAGAAACTCGGCCAGCGTATCACGAAAAGGATTTCCAAAAGGTCACTGCAAACTTTTATCAAAAGATGCCCACTTCGCTGGCTCCATACTCAAGATCAAATGGCCAGAAAGAATAAGTAACAAGAAACTCTGGCAACAAACCAACCAAGAGCCGATCGCTCAACAAATATGTAGGAGAAAATGGAGATTTATCGGGCATACGTTGAGGGGGCCGTCGAACGACATCACACGCCAGGCCATTGCTTGAGTGGGATCCAAATGGGAAACGACTAATGGGTCGTGGGTGCGAGGGTGACATGGAGGGGATCGTTTAGAGGGAACGGGATGGGAGATTATGGCCACTCGTTGACTCAGCTGAAGAGAACAGCAGAAAATAGAAGAAAGTGGAGAATTGTTGCTGTAGCCCTATTTTCCATTTGAAACCCAAGGGAATAATAATATAATAATAAATTCACATTAATTTTAAAGGAATCAGGGTGATTTTATATTTCAGGGCTTCAAACTTTATTATCTCATAACGTTGAATATGTTTTATTACTCGACTGTATTTGGTTAACTCATTCTCTGTATCATAGGGTTGGAATTTGAAATGTATTTTATTAGCATATTTTTTAAATTTATTTATAAACCTTCTTGTCTGATGTTATGATAAGTTGCATTTGTTTGTTACAGGCTAAAGACTGTCCAAGCTTCAAAGGTTCGTCTCAAGTAATCACACTTACAAGTGGTTCACCACTTGCCACTACATTCCATGTTTCAAATGTACAGGTATGTTAACCATTAATTGTTGTCAGCATGCATACTGCTCCTATTAGTTGTGTTTGTCACCACTTTCGTATCATAGTATGATAGAAAGACCTTTAAGATGATGACGTCAAGTATTCGAATTTCAAATCTTAAAAACCAAATTAAAGGTATCCACATGTAAGTTGTCTTTCACAGCTTAATAAAGGTAGATATGTAAGGAAAGAAAATTCTCTCATTAAGTAAGCATGCGTTTGTAACTCAGTGGTAACTGTTACGAATTCAATCGCATAAATTGTAGTGTAAACAGAATGGTAGCTCTGTTGATCCTAATGAGAAGAAAAAGTGGTTTATACAGTTTGTTAAATATCTAAGTTTTTTTCCCCTCCTATATCCAAGGTGTTTCTTCTTTGATGGATGCAATTAGTAATATCCTCCATAAAAGGATGTACTTCAAAACGATAGTGCCAGGCATTTTGCCTACCCTACTATAACTTATTAGTTGTGTTTTTTTGCTTCACTTTCTCGTATATTTTTAAACGTTCAGATATTCATTTTGATCTAAACAAATGGTAGTGATAGTGTGGTGAGAGCTGGCTGCTAGCCAAAGTTGGTAGACAGTAATTAACGTCAATGTGTATGTCCCCAATATTGGTGATGAGAAAATGAGAACAAAGGCTTTGCGTAGGCGGATACAGTTAGCATATGGATGATCTGACACAGCCACAAAGAGATGCAAGGTTAACTTTCTGTGAGAAACAACCAAAAGACTGTATTTTCTACTAACAATAATCTACAATAATGTACATTAAAATCTATAAATGTGTTGATTTTCCTTAATAAAGGATCTGTTGCCTGGCCCTTGTCTTCTGTTGTTACAGTAGTATTTTCATCATAATACTGAGTAGTTGGTAGTCATGAAGTTCAATGCTGGGTGTCAAAATAATTTCCTCATTAGTAGTAATCTGATAATCTGTTTCGCTAACCTTCAGTCATCGTGTCGCTTTTTCTAACAAATTTTTTCAGTCTTTTAGTGTCCACTTCTTTGTTTATAAGCTAATAAGGGTTCTAAGTTTTAAATAGATTAATAAAATACATACGATGGAATGTGAATCATCCTCTGAGAAACTACTAATTTCAGCTTCAACTACAGGTTATATCATCAAAGCAGTCAGTTAAAAGATGTTCTAACTACAATGATAACCTATCTTGTGAAAGTGGATCATGTTAACAATGATCTCTAAGGTAGATTTCTATATGGTGTGTAAATCCTATAATTATCAGACTTAAACTTTGCACTAGTAACTAAGAGAATTAACCTGTGTAAGTTGGTTACTGAATATATCTCTGCATCAGCACAAAACACCAGTATAACATTTTCCAACCCATATCATTCTGATATATGCCGGGTATTCTTCAAAAAAAAAAAAGTTCGTTAGGCATTACGTCATTTTCAATTACACTTGAATATTTCTATGCTTGCATTTAAATGCAGTTACTATTTTGAAAGCTATATTTGTATAATTCCTTTGCAGAAACAACAAGTTGTCGAGTTTACCTGTTCAGAAAATTGTACTAACCAGCGTGTTCGTGCATTATTTAACCCATTCAACTCTACAGTATCGTGTTATATCGAAATGGTAAGCTGATTTCTTTTAAATCTTTCTGTGATGCTGTTGCAAAATTTTCATCAAATATAATATTTTAATTCACTTGTTATAACTAACGTCACAATAAAGAATTATGTATTCAAATATTCCCTTTGCTCGATTTTTAACTAGTGTGTACTAGTATTGTAACGACAGAAGGCAAGAGTCAGGCAACAGATCATTTATTAAGGAAATCAACGCATATTTATATATATTTTCATGTACATTACTATGGATATTTAAGTAAACAAACACAGTCTTCCGATTGGTTGTTTCTCACGTAAAGTTAATCTTTCATCTATTTGTGACTGTTTCTTGAATATCAAATCCTCTATATGTTAACTGCATCCGCCTACGCAAAGTCTGCTGTGGTCGGTTTTGAATCAATCTTTGTTCACATTTTCTCACGACAAATCTTGGGAACGTAAATATTGACGTAAATTACTGTCTACCAATTTGGCTAGTAGACAGCTCTCACCACAGTATTAATTTGGATATGACTAGGTAGTTAGAGTTCACCTTAGATGTGAGAATAGTAACCTGTAGGATGACATTTATTGTCGTTGCTGTTTTTCTCTCATATCACGATTTAGCAGTTGAAAAAGTATTCAGTATTACCTTCCAGTCAGGTATCTGATTAGTCCTGTAGTACGACGTGAGGGTTACAAATTGAGTGCAGTCCTCAAGAATCTCCAATTACAGGAGAAAATGACTGTCAAGATCTTCGTTCCAGTGGTTTTCTAACTATTGTCGGTTGATGATGAAACCTTCTGGTGCATAAAAGTGTCTATATTTCTTTTCGGTATGTCCAGCTATGTATTACGGACAGTCTGATTGAGGAAGTATATGAATCCTGAATAAGTTACTATAATCAAAGGTTTCTGATAAGGATATCTTGTAGCTCCTCTACAATATAAGTCGACTAGAAGTATTATTCACTCAAAATTTCAGCGACATTTACATCTTATTTCTGTTACCTGTTAGTCGGTGCTAATATATGAGGTGAATTTGTAGATACTGGTTTATGATCAAGTCATTTGATGCTGTAATTTATAGATAATTATTTTCTGGTTTCTTAACTGAAATTGCGTGCCTTCGTCCACTCTATGTCTGGCTTAACTTACAGAGGCATATATAATTTTTTGTCTGGATTTTTGTTTTTGTCTGTCAAATAGATCAGTTTAACAAGGAAATTAGATGCACACTCATCTAAGAGCGTTGTACCGAGTTCTCTTGATGCAGCTGTAAACTGTGGTTTGGATCTTTATTGGCATGGACCGAATGATCGTGATAAAAAAGGTCATCGTATGGTTAATGAAGACCAGATTCATGGTTAGTTTTGAATTTTTTTTGATGATTCGCTCACTAACTCGTGAATTATATGGAACTGATGGCATGTCAGAAGACGTTATATTTCCTAAAGTTACAATCTTGAGGGCTGTGTTAGATTTGCGATACAACTAAAGTCATTCTGCCTATTGTTGAAACTAATATTTGTTCGTTTTAGTAATACTATGATCATACAGATGTCCTTAGAGTAGTGACAGAATTCAGGCAGTGTAGTAGTTTTTTGGATATAAAATAAATTAACTTGATATATAGAACTGTATATTCTGTTATAAACTTTTATATTTTCTTTCTAGCTGAGGTTTACGCCTGTGAATGGCTAGCTAAATATTGTGATGAGTGTCTACTTCTTCCTCCTCGATTTGGTTGTGTCTGGTGTGGTTATGATACTTACGGTAAAGTAAAAGGAGGTAGCTGTCGCACTCAGAAATCATGTATTGAACAAAAGTTCTTCAACGGAACTACAGCCGTACATCAGCGTCCTCTGCGAACTGGAGATATTTGTCCAAATCCTGAAATTTTATCTGTAAGTCTTGAACTCAATTATTTACGGCTGTTTAATCTAAAAGGTTAAATTAAATACCAAAATAATAAATTTCCACTGATCATTCATTCTAGATAAAGTGTTCTTTTGTAGTCCAAACAATTACGAGTTCTCAACTTGATGATTTTCCGCGGTTCAGCTTCTAATCGTATTTCATTATCGGTTCCTTATTGTTGCCGATGCTACCAACAAACAGTTGTGTAGTAAATTCATTTGGTAGAAAACTAACGTCGTTGAAGGGAATCTCGTTTATTCAAGTTATAAAATAATACACATATTGCCTTTGCTGAGATCGATAGTGAAATTCGTTTGACCACGTTTCTAGTATCTGAGACTCACTATCATAGAGGCTTGCACCTACAAAGATAATCAAAAGTTGGTTCTAAACTTAAGATTCACAATATTTTGGCATTTTGCATTGCTGTCATCGATAAATTATATGACGAAACCAATGTCCAGTTATAAGTTTAGGAGGCTAATCCATTACACTTGGGAACGTCACTACTGGAGTAATTAAGTAGCCTATCTTCAGTCCTTGTAGTTGATGCTGAGCTGAACTGAGGTTTTAGCGTAGAACTGTACATAAATGTGTAGCAGCTCAAGTTACCCCACTGCATTCAACAGAACTATAATGAGTAGAAATGTGTATGAGGAAGATTGAGTAATATGACGAACAGTGAGAATTTAATGGATCTAGGAGTGCATAAAGAGTGAATCCATCTGCACCGTTGAGAACGATTTTGAGCTATGTCACTGACAGTCTCACCAGCTATTGGTTCTAACCGTCTCAAGGACTCTAGCGAGAAAGTCTACGCTTCCCTACGTAGCTCAAACCAACCGTCAAGGATATGATGGATTGATGACACCTCGACAGCTCTACCAAAGTAATCCTGTATCAATCAACATTGCTCGATAACGAAGGAGATATTTAGTTCGTATTACTGTAAATTTATTGCTGGCATATTAATTATCCTAAGTGTTGGATCAGATATCAGTATTTCACTCACTGCTTAACTCTTTCTTACTGTCTGTCTTTCAAATCGTACACGATAGTATCTGATACCATATCTAAGCAAAATCTACGTTGATACGGAATCCAAACCATAAACCTCCAAGTGGCAAGTTCCATTATCTATGTGTTATCAATCAGTAAACCTTTTGGTTGTTATGTAGTTATTTGTGATACTTTACTACATTTATCCATATATCGTATAATCATCGATACTGTGACTCACATGCCTACTAAAAGTGTTCTTAAAGCTTCAAATCAGTTTTTCAAACTACTAAGCCAACTGTAATTACTATTCAGGTAGGCCGTCTCATAGATGTGTAAGCTAGTGCAAGGTGAGATAGGTTAATCACTTTCCATCCAATGGTTTCATAATCTTGAGAGAAATAACAATGCTTTCCTTTTTGATGATTGAGTTTACTTTGCAGCCATCATACATTCCAATCACATTTATTGTCTGTTGGAATTTTAGCTTTATGTCCACCTTATGTCAAATACACATACATACTGTTAGCTAAAAATATATTTTTAAATTGATTAATTCTGTAATAAATGAACAAGGCATATTTGGAAATTTACTTTATGCTGGAAAACTCAGTAATATGTAGCACTAAATGTATTTTAATGGTTTTAATACAGCTCATTGGTGTTATTAATCACAATAATTGTTCAATTTTTATTTTCCGGAAAAACCAGCTTTCCCCTTCCAATGGGACATTAACAGGACAACCTATTCTTACTATCTCTGGTAGGAATTTGGGTCGTGAGGCTTCAGACATTATAGATGTATTTTTGGAAATTCATCCAAGAATCCGATGTTTCGTTTTGTCAGAAACATATCAACATTCACATAAGTTCAAGTGCAAGCTATCTACAGCGCCTTCTCTCTCACTACCTGTTTCTGGTCAATTGAAGGTAGTAATAAGCAATAAGAGATATGAAGTAAGTTGCTCTATCTAATTATCATGTGGATATTTTTACTAGTATTTGCTTTTTTAAATTGGTACGGTATAGATTTTGTGATCTCAATTCTGTAAAGCAAATGAAACAGGCATCCATCTCTTGTGTAATATATAGTATTCTGTTGGCATTGTCATGATATTGTGCGTCGGTGGCACAGTGGTTAGGACTCTCAGCGACCATGCACATGGTCCAGGGTTCGATCCCCTGCCGACGCACACCTGATATCTATGGTCGGCCTGCAAAATTTGGGCTACCGATATCACATGCTGAAAATTCCATACCTGTACCAAAAATTACGGTGTGGAATCAAGCTGTAATCAAAAATATCAAATAAAAGGCTTTGAAAATGTGTCTTTTTAAAAAGGATTGTTGATAACAAATGTTATAGCCAATATTGCTAACATTGAATATATATCTAGCGCTTAAAGTGAAGCGTATATCTTTTTTTCTAAATATTTACTTTTCAAAGCCATAACCTTAGCTTTTGTTTTCATTGATTTATCTGCAGGCATCATCTCCCATTTTTCGCTTCCTAGCCCCCCAGTTAATTAACTTTGCACCTCAACGAGGGCCCAAAGCAGGTGGTACTCGACTATATTTGTCTGGTACAAATTTGAATACTGGTGATAAGCGTTCCGTTTATTTATATCTCCCGTCGCGGAATAGTGTTACTGATGAATATCATCGGAGTAAGCCAGGGGAATCAAGTATTCGAGTGAAATGTGAGATTGAGCAGTAAGTTTCTTACCTGATTACTTATATCAGTGTTTATTGTTTAAACGCGATTACCTGAAACAAAGCTTCACTTATCATGTGGTGATTGATGACACTACCGGGTTGCCTAGACTGAAGTGGGTGGAACGGGGCTCGAACCTTTGACACATTGCCTAAACCACTAAATCATATCTCCACGATTACTTACATCAAATAATGTAATTTGATCGGATTTATTTCAAAATATGAGCAATATTTTATAATAAGAGTTTTAGCATTCTTTCGTTTTTAGCTATTCGGTAAATTAATTTGGATTTTCCGAGACAAATTAGATATTGCTCTAAAGTTCTTTTTGAATAAAATGATTATGATATGTTCTGTACTCTGCCACTACTTACACACATTTACAATGCTCTTGATAGAGTGATAGAGTGTGCGTCGGTGGCACAGTGGTTAGGACTCTTGCCGACCATGTACATGGTCCGGGGTTCGATCCCCTGCCGACGCACACGTGATATCTATGGTCGCCCTGCAAAATTTGGGCTACCTATATCACATGCTGAAAATTCCATACCTGTACTGAAAATACGGTGTGGCATCAAGCTGTAATCAAAAAAAAAAATAAAGTGGATATTAAGAAAGGTTAGGCTTAGAAGAAAACATTGTCATGGATGGGGATGTAACAGCAGTAAGGTATTTCCCTTAGATAACCAGCAAGCCGGCTGTGCTGCCTCTCCGCTATGGGGAAAGTGGCGTTAGAAAAGATCAACCGCAAAAATTTCACACCCTGACTTACCTCGTGTAGCGGTTCATAGCCAGTAGTAAGATCTTAATACAGACACAACTACAAAACCCACCTCAAACCGGCCGTATGTGACCGGCCTCAAGCATTTGTCTCTTAACTTCTGCAGTCATGCAACACTAGTGCTCCTGCTGTTTCAGGTACCCCGAGAAGAAACTAACTTTCACCCCGTCCACACACTTCCATATACACACAAAGCTTTTCTAATCAGCCAGTCGCTTAGGATTACTATATACTGGTTCACATTGCCGCACATATCCGCTGCATACCAAATGGAAATGAGAAGTTTCACAGAGATATTGAAAAGAATAAGGACGGCAGAAACAAGAAAGAAGCGTGACACTGCAATTAAGACGAAGATTAACGATGAATGAATTTCTACAGTGACGGTCGATTCTGTTTCATAACATCTAGAGTCTTTAATTGTGGATTCTGGACATCTACATTTCCCCATACAACTCAGGCCAACATTTCTTAGGTTCGCAGATTGGTGCAATATATTCGTTGGGTCGCACTAATTAATCATACTTCTGATATCATAGTACATACAGATAGATGATGGGTTGATATGCATAATGTATGTTTTGACCATTTCAGGCATATCTTATATCACGTTTTTTTTGGCTTGTTATGTAACAGGTATATCAGTAATTCTAAGTCCTATGTTGATAATATCTGTCTCCATATCCTAGTGATAATCGATTATTCTCTAATAGAAAATTTGTCTAACTTTCGACGTTGTACAACCTCCCTGCTGGATTAGTGTAGTTATTTGATAGTAGAACTGTATTTTGTAAATTATTCCATCAAAAGTATGATTGATATCTGGAATCTAATGGAGTTGTACATGTTCTATTACATAATTGAGCATTATTGTAACATTACTGATCATGTAGGAACTACTGGTTGAAATTCTCAATATTTATAGCTGCCTACAAACTTAGTTCATTTGTCTCCAAGGTGGTAACAGCAAGGTGCAATTATTCCTACCAGTTAATTCTTTGTATCAAGTATGTATAAAAGGTGTCCTTCATTATCATATGCTACAACTCCTTGGTCCCTTTGCATACTAAGTTAATAGATTTTGATCACTACTCAGAAATAAACACTTGTATTGTTTGTATTGGACACAGAAAGGGACTAAAGTCAGTGGAAAACTGGAGTGCGTTGTTTTCAGTACCGATCTGTTCTAAATTTTCCTCTCAAGATGGAAAGTTCTTCCATGTGAAGTTTTGGTTATCAGATTACAGCAACTTTTCCCAACAGATTTTCTAGCCCAGTAAAACTTTGTTTGCAGATATTTACTGTAAAAAAAATCTTATCGCTATTTCACTGACATTTCCAGCACAATAAAGTCGCAATAATTAAGAGGTGTGCATTCTCTGAGGCTTATCCAGGTTGCAGTTACACTGTGGGCAAATAATTATCAGTTGGAGAGTTTAAATTTTTTGTTCCTCATTGCTGACATATTTTTTACTAAATAGGTCACTAACTCATCTTTCCTCTCTACAGTTTAGCTGATCTCATACTTTTTCACCTCGATTTCCTCTAATAAGTTAGAAATAAATAGTTATTCGAGTACACTTATACTGTATTCAGAGTAGTGAACGTCGGTGGCTCAGTGGTAGGACACTGGCCGACCAAGTTAAGTGGTCCGGAGTTCGATCCCCGGAGGACGCACTCCTTTACGTCGCTTACCGGTAGTTATTTCGATAAAGAGGGAAGGTTAGGCATGAGGCTAGCAACCCCATTACGTAAAAAACACCGCTGTTACTGAAACTTCCAAGCTCTTGTTTGAAGCCCACTGGAAACTCAAAGGAATTTTTAAAAAAATTAGAGTAGTGAAGTGCACTTACACTTACGAATTTCCCATTTATAGGTTTGTAAACAATCGTCAACTTTAATTGAATTTTAGATTTTTCCCGTCGATTGATTGGACCGAAGTGCTCGGTCTCAGGTTGACATGTCGGCTTCTTGAGTAGATGCTTCGACGATGTCTGGGCATTTAATTAGAAGTTAATTGGTGGACGTCCTATCTGTAACAGATTTTCCTTCATTATTTACTAGGTGTTTCGCCCATATCTTTGTTACCATACAAGTTTTGAAATAATATATTTCTATTGTATTACTTGCTAATGTATATTTCTAATGCCAGATAGATAGCTTGTGAACTTTTGAGTAAATGTTTACTTTGGCATGATGGTGATATATTTAGTCCACTAGTATAATTAATTTATATTCCTCCGTTTCTGCGTGACGTTTTGCAATACGTGTGCATTGCAATCAGTCTCATACTATGGCGCCAATATTTTGAGTTATGCGTTTTTACTCTGCCTAATTATTATTATTTTTGTATATTGTCAATCAGTTATCAGTTTACTATTACTAAAGTATTACTATTACTATTATTATTATTATAATTACTATGTCTGTAGGAATAAAAATTCATAGCATGTTTAATCTAATTAGGTTGTGCTTTCTTAGTACTCATCATTGTTCATAACTTCATTTTGTTGGTCAAGCAGTAATTTGTATTTAATAATTCATAAGGTTTATCTATCTGTAATCAGTGTAGTTGCTAGCAATAGGTATATAGGATCTCTAATCAACCTTCATGCGTATACTGCTCAGTGAACTATAACATTGACATTACTTTTTTCTAGTTTACTTTTCTAAATACCTTGTGAAATAGTCTTTAGTTTCCTCATATATAATTTAATGTTTAAAATTCATTACTAGAGAATCTGAAACACTAATTATTTGCTTGACTGGTCCGTTACCTGAAGAAGTACCAGTGAATTCAATTCCAGGAGGACGGTCAAAAAGACAAATAACTCCTTTGGACTTCAATAATAATAACGACAAATCATTGTCTATGAATGAACACATTCCATTATCATTGGTTATAATGCATGATCAAACGCCAACATATCTGTCTCATGCATTTTCATTCATCTACTCACCTAATCCTTCTATACATGAAGTTCAACGAAAACATGTTCTCGCTGGGTTAGTTTATTGTGTTATCTCTATTATTTATTTATTTATTTATTTGTTCATGTACTATCCCCAATGTTTATATTGTCCTTCATTTCAATGAATGCGACATTTCATGTCTGTTTTTGCTTCTGTAATGTGTGTGGCAGCTTTCTGTGTTAAACTTCTATCTATTAAAATTTTATCTGTTTATACAGAGAGGTAGTTTTTGAAATTAGACATTTTTTTTAACTAATTGACATCCTATGTGGTGAGAGCTGTCTACTGGCCAAATTGGTAGACAGTAATTTACGTCAATATTTACGTTCCCAAGATTTGTCGTGAGAAAATGTGAACAAAGATTGACTTTGCGTAGGCGGATGCAGTTAACATATAGAGGATTTGATATTCAAGAAACAGTCACAAATAGATGAAAGATTAACTTTACGTGAGAAACAACCAATCGGAAGACTGTGTTTGTTTACTTAAATATCCATAGTAATGTACATGAAAATATATAAATATGCGTTGATTTCCTTAATAAATGATCTGTTGCCTGACTCTTGCCTTCTGTCGTTACACCTAAGCTCACTGGTAATTTTCAGTGGTTCTCTAACTGATATCAATCCGTAGTCTAACCTCAAACAAATGTAATCCCTACAAACTAATTCTTGAAAATTAATGTGATGCTCGCTATTGACTGGCTGCAGGATGAAGTTGCCTGGAGTTCCAGGGAAGTCCATCCAGTCAAGGAGTGAGAATGGACTTCCCGCCGATGACATTAGCTGGTGCCAGTCGGGCTAAAATTATGAATTGGTAAAAGTTAGAGTGCATGGGCTGGTCATTGAACTGGGTCCCAGTGGCTGCCTTGTAACTAGAGAGTCCTGTGTTCAAACCCTGGTGGTGGGTGTGTACTGCCGATGAGTCTCAAACTAGGACGGTGAAAACAGCTGTCCAGTAATCCCTGGTTTACAATGGTTCCCTAACTGATATCAATCCGTGGTCTAACCTGAAATAAAATTAAAGTATATATATAAATATGATATACTATGTGTATGTGTAACAACAGAAGACAAGGGCCAGGCAACAGATCGTTTATCAAGGAAAATTAACACATATTTATAGATTTTAATGTACATTATTATAGATTATTGTGGGGATATAAACATTGACATCAATTACTGTCTACCAACTTTGGCTAGCAGCCAGCTCTCACCACACTTGTCCTCCCGTTAAAGACTTGCGACTGAAGTTGGTTCGGTGTTCTTGGTTCTTGGGGCTTCGCTCTTTTGTCTTGCTGTCTGAAATCTCGGCGCTTGCGGGTGTTCACCTGTTCCTCTGTGTTTACCATTGCGATTGTGTCTACGTAACCCCATCTCAATGTGACCATATGTGGTCCTTCCCACTTTGGAAACTGTTTGCCTGACCCTGTCGCACATTCGTAGGTGTTTTGCCTCACACTTTCATATGCTGCTTTCTCCCGACCTCCCAGCAGTGTCCCAAGTAGCAGCCTCATCGCTGACAGATCTTGAACGCCACTCAACTGCAAAGAAGCCTCGAAGTCCTGCCCAAAGATCCATATGTCTCCATCAAAAATTGCAGGGCATAGGCTTTCCATTTGTTGGTAGGCAGCGACACCAAATGTAACAACAGAACACAAGGGCAAGGCAACATATCGTTTATTAAGGAAAATCAACACATATTTATAGATTTTAATGTACATTATTGTAGATTATTGTGGGGATATAAACATTGACGTCAATTACTGTCTACCAACCATGGCTAGCAGCCAACTCTCACCACATATGCTTTGAATATCTATCATTGTCTTGCTACAAAATTAAATGCTCAAAGTGTAACCACCAACCAGTGAGTTATTCTTTACAGCTGTTAAATGTATAAAGCATAGGCATCAAGATGTTAAAGATGTTCTCAAAAATGAAATTATACGCGTTTATGTGTATTTACGGAGGTAATGAATAATATTTTTATGGATTAATGCGTAAAAGAAACATTTAGAAAAAAAATAATCAACAAATTAGTATCACGCACTGAACACCATAAAAAGCTGAATGGAGATGACAGAAAAAAAAGTACATAGATAAATGAAATGTGCGTCGAACAGGTTTGTTGGTTATGCTTATTCTTGTAAATCATTTAAGTGTGATGATTAAAACGAAAACGATTGTAAAAACCGGCTACGTTACATTTTGAGCCGATAAAACTGAGGTGAAAAAAAACAATGTTCTCAATCAAAATTTATGTATGAAATTAAAATTAGAATTACGAAGAACCGTAACTACGTCTTATGGCTAAGACTAAGATTGGTGTAAAGTTTATTTTTAACATCAAAATGATGCTTTTAATAGCTTTTGACACAACAGCTATTTTCAAATAGATTTTCTCTGCTAGGAGGAGAAGAGCTGGACAAAAAATATACACTTACCATGTTTGACATTGTATTTCTAATTAAGTAGAGGTAGATGGCTTTGCCTTGCCAGTCATCGTTTTGTTAAATTGGCTCCCTCTCGCATGTGAGACTACATTTACAATAGTGAGATATGAAGCCAATCGAATTCCTTTCGCTTACATCTATCTGCTTTCCTTTGATTGTTAGCTGTCTCATTTATATTCGAACCCAACTTTTGTCGCTTAAACACCAGAGGATTATGCGAGAGAATGAATTTAAAATAACCCAGGCTAATGGCTTAATTCCTACAAACCAGTTTTAAAAAATAAAAGTCGAACAACAACGAAACACCAGTCCCGAGATTGATCGCGAACTGGCTTTGGGTAGAGGACTCTTGAAAATCAGAGAGTGCTGGCCCGCTGTTTTCTTCCTTGTTAGGGACTCTTCATCAGTACTCTGGCTTCCAATGGTTCTCTAATTGAAGTCAGTTCGTAATCACTCTGGAAATTAATATAATCTTTGCAAGCCGCCAACACTTGAAATATCAGTTGTAAAGCATAACGTAGTTTGGATGATTCTAAATACGAAAGTATTACGTGTAGAGTAATGTATCTATAGGTTAGGACGTCCTCGGATGTCGAAATGTATCGTCCTCCTGTTAGAACATTTTCCTCGTGAAAATAAGTGTATACTTTTAGCCCCTGATCATAATGTATGCGTGGTTCTCTAAATAATATCACGTCAATATAACTGTATTACCACTACTCATTGTACACATGTAGTTTTTACTTTGTCCCCTCATGAAGCAACTTCATTTTCAGTAAAGCATTCTAAGGGACTTTCATTTCGTCTTCAAAAATACCCTTTAACTTTGTTTAAATTATCTGTTTGAACATTTTTATTCCAATTACACTTATCATAATCAGAAAGATCTTAAAAGAATTTCATGTAACAGAGAATATTTGAATTAGTACAGTTGTTTGTTTTTTTTCACATCTGAAATTTGAATTCTCATGTTGATAATTGAAAATTGTTTACAAATTCGGTAAGAGCATTTACTCTTTTTGTTGTCTTTTCACTGTACATAAGACATATCATTCACTGAAAGTTTTCAGTATTTTTTCCGTTTCTAAAAACATTTATTTTTACATTTACATTCAGTGGTGGGACTACTCTACATGTTACGGGAACTTTTTTATTTGTCATTCACGATCCTAAATTAGTCTTCTATTTCAATGGATCTCAATACAGTCTGGTAGGTTACGTTTAAATTTGTCAGTTGTTTAATACGACCACCTTATAAATTCTTCTTTCCAAATAATAAACGTTTACCTTGGTGATGTGCGTTGGTGGCACAGCGGTAGAATGTTCGCCAACTACGAATGTGCTCCCGGGTTCCATCCCCAGCCGACGGACTGCTTTACCTCGCTAAGCCAGTAATAAGACTGGTAAAGAGGGGAGGTTAGCCATGAGGCTAGCAACCTCATCCGGTAGAAATAAACACCACTGCTACCGAAACTTCAAGCCTGTAGCTTGAAGCCCCAGTATTCCACTGGGAACGTGAAGGAATGAAAAAAAAACCTTGATGATGTATGTGTTATGTAGTGAATGTGTTGTCATCTGTGTTAAAGAGTATAATTGAACTCATATCCTCTTGTATTACATAGTTTTATTCGTCTTTCTCGTGCTCATTTTATGTATTTTGGATTATGTTTCGAGTAAAATGTATTGTTAATACTCTATAAAATCAGTTAGGCTGCTTGAACGACTTCGAAGCTCGCTTCCGGTTTGCTTCAAGTAGAAATAACTCTCATAATTGTTGTGTGGTCATTTATTCTGCTAGATCTGAGCTTTAGCTACACTACCTGCTGACTCTTTAGTCTGGCCTTCCTAACCTGGTGATCAGGTTGGTCTTATTACCGCTTCCAACTAGTGAAGGGAGAATATACCATTTATGGCCGTTCAAGGGGTGTATTTACTATTGATTGTGTGGAGAAAGAGAGAGAGAGTATAGAGATACACAACAGCGCAGTAGCTGCACTCTCATCCCTTGAAAATCCACTTGTCCTCAGCGTGTTTCAATCCGTACAGATAAACTAATCGATCGTTGATGGCGAAATAACTCAGGTTCAATTGATTTGACAAACTCCTATGATCTCATACAGTACTTCATACAATCCTTTCCTTTGATTAACTTGGACAAAAAAGGATCAAAAAAGCTGAGCAGGATAACGAAATACCTTTTTTGGTGGTTCTTTTCAACTGCATAAAATATTTAAAAGACTTGAAGTATGAATAGGCAAAATATCCACATATCTTAATTAGCTAGAAAAGATGGCAAGTATTAATAATGATAATATTTAATTGAATCCACGAGCAGTTGCATGGAAAGAAATACAAATGTCACATAGGATAGTTACGTGAATCAACAACACCAGTTGAACATTAATTAGGTATGCAAAAAACAGATTTAACTTTTTCCTATTGTATTAATTCAGTTAACTCCGAAGTTGTTATTACACATACAGTTCAACGTATGTTTTGCCTTCATTCATACTTTTGACCTGAATATTTGACCTTTACTCAACTTATTATTCTCTTACTTCAAATCACCTAAGGTTAAAATTGTTACATAGTACTGTTCTTAACTCTACAATATTCTTGTAACTTTCGTACACACAACAACAGTAAGCTTATTGATACTTGTAGTGTAACAACAGAAGACAAGGGCCAGGCAACACATCGTTTATTAAGGAAAATCAACACATATTTATAGATTTTAATGTACATTATTGTAGATTATTGTTAGTAGAAAATACAGTCTTTTGATTGTTTGTTTCTCACAGAAAGTTAACCTTGCATCTGTTTGTGGCTGTGTCAGATCATCCATATGCTAACTGTACCCGCCTACGCAAAGCCTTTGTTCTCATTTTCTCACCACCAATATTGGAGACATAAACATTGACGTCAATTACTGTCTACTAACTTTGGCTAGCAGCCAGCTCTCACCACAGTAGTACATTTCTTTCAACTCCTCGTGTATTCAAGAGAATTGGATATTTTCCTTAGAGAGAAAGAAGAGAACATTGTTTAATGCTTTATCTATAAAGGTTTTTATTCTGTTACAGTAATATTAGTGCTGGCCATCTTCTAACTAAATACTTGAAATATATGAATATTTTGTAATGTTGATACTTCAACTGTTTTAGATTGTATATAGTTGAAAAGAATCAATGCAATAATATGATAGCATATTATCCTGTTTAATTTGTAGTCCTTGTATATACAGTTCAAATTATTGTTTATAACTGTATAATTATGAGAAATGTTTGAACAGGCTTTCCACGTAGCAAGTTATGAGCCAAACTAATCGTGTATGTGAAGGTTGACGCTACTACTACCCAGTTACTCAGGCTGAAGTAGATGGATTAGGGCTCTAGCCTGTGACACCTGTTGACTAAAAACCTAATTCTTAAGCCAATGAGTCATATCTCCACATACAAGAAATGACCATTGGAATTTAAATTAGTCTGCAGCTGATGAATACCTGTAAAATAAGAAATTGATGGCATTTTATACCTATGATTTAGATAATCTTACTTATCAAAATAATCATTTTATTCTACGTATTCTTAGTTCCTTTTAATCATTTATCCCCATTACCGATATTTTGTTCGTATTTTTCACTAGAAAGCATAATGATTGAGACTATCCTTCTTTCTGTTTCATACAGTTTTAAGTGCAGTTGTAGAGATAATGTTCAGCTCAGGATGAAGGTTATTATAGTTGTTTTGTTGAAATGTAACTTTTTTAGACGATAGATCATTGTTTAGTACAGATGATATATATATATCATCTTAAATTGTATCTGTTTATCAAACAACTAGTTGTTTGAGACAATCAAAAGTGGACGAATACCTACCTCATGTTACCTCCAACTGTGTCTACCAATTTACATGTACGTGCCAAAGCACATACATCAGAAGAACAGAGAGAAGGGTTATTATCCGCATTTCTGAACACATACCAAAGAACCTGAGACTGAAAGGTCCACAAGTATTGAACAGTGCAACTGCGCGTCATCTATTAGACACCGGTCATAATGTAGACAACTTGAAGTCATTCAAAATAATCAACAAGCAAAAGAAACCTAGCTTGCTATGCTTTGCTGAAGCAGTTGCTATCAGACGACTTAAACCAAATCTATGTACGCAGAAAGAGACAGTGGTGAATCTTGCACTGCCCTGGTGATAACAAAATATACAACTTGTATGAATCACCCTTTTTCTTGTTTAGAAAACTCTACTCTCTCATCTAAAAATGACTCACCCTATCTTGTTCTTTTCTCTTCCTTTTTCCATTGGCTATTAGATAAAACATTTTCTTTACTTACGTAATCTACCTTTTTGTTATGCTCTTTCTAGCTTAACCTTGTTTCTATACACACACATACATGTATGCAACTCTGTTTTTGTTTCCAAGCTTAATTGTCTAATTATTCTATAAATAGTCAGTGTTTGTAACTCTTAATTAGTTAAATGATTCCGGACTAATGTTACTTTTACTTCCTACCAATTACTCCTTGTGATCGTGGAAAAGTATGTTCAAATCTTTAATGTAATGTAATTCATATTTTTATCGTTCAGGTTGTAACCAGTTGAGAAGAATCCTCGAAATAATAAAAGATGAGCTCATATTATCCTGGTACAATTGTTGTTCTTGCTTTGTTCAAGTTTAAATTGAAATAGTTAAGTATATACAGTTGACTGTCTTGTTAAGACATGACATTGAAATCAATTCATTCTCTCTTTTGAACAGAATAAAATTGTCTCAACCTTTGTACACATATTTTCTCTCACTTTTTTTTTGCAGAGCTGCTCAACTTCTTCTGGTGGAGAGTTGAAGTGTTTAAGTCCATCTTTAACTAATTCACGCGATGTGGTTCCATCTGGCGGCATAAGTGATGAAAGCATATATGTACATAAAGAACTGGATAGTTCAATACAATCTAGCATTAATTCTTCAGTAAATACAAAACAACTTGTTACCTCTCGTTTACCGATATCACAGTCAATAATCCACTCTTATTTGGAATCAAAACCTGAGTTTTATTCTTCTGCTTTTACACAACAATCTGAATGGCCAATTGATATACCATATGGTTTTATTATGGATGGAGTACATCAACTACGTGTTTTTGGTTTCATAAAGGTAAGTATATTTGAAGTATAATGTTCAGCTTAACACACAGATATCCGGTGTGTTGTTAAGGTAATTGAACTAGAAATTAGATACATTTACACTAATTTGCTAAACACATGTCTTAGCAAAATCTTGGCTACATTCAATGTAATTATTTTGTATTACTTTGAAAACAATAGCACTTTAATTTACTTCTTTGTAAATGTTATTTTCAATTGTTTACAGCTACATGGATTGGATTGCTTTGTTTACTAGATTGTACTCAGTGGTGTCTTTGACCAGTGCAGTGAAAATTCACTCCCATTTGAATGAAATAAATAGTTTCAAAGAGAAATATAAAACCATAGAAATTTCAATAACTAGATTAGCATCTTTTTTTCTAAATAAATTTGTAAAGGTTGACTTTTGTAGCCTGATATTGTTAAGTTTAATTTCAATGTAAATTTCGTCACAAACCAGTGAGCATTGGGCAACTATTTCGTCCTAGTTTGGGACTTTTCAGCACTGCACATGAAAAGCATTGATTTAGGGTAACGATATATCACGAACTGACAAAGTTAAAATTCATGGGTCACTGAATTCATGCTCAAGTGGTTGATGGATCAACAACGAACTTAGTTCGATCCCTAGTGGGATCTTTGGTGCACACTATTGAAGAGTCCCAAAGTGGGACGGAACCATAGTTCCTTGGTTTTCAATGATTTCTCTTACTTATATTGGTTGGTGACGAAGGTTAACAATTAAAATTCCTAAAGGATGACTTATGTAGCCTCATAATATTAAATCCACTGGAATTTGTTGCAGACAATATTGACACTACCGTTCAAAAGGATATCATGGAGTCGAAATAAAGAAAAAAGAGATATCTGAGTCAGAATTTATAATGTCTGTCTTTGGTGTTTTGGTCTAAGTGCACATATTGAGCGTGAATTTACTTGTTCTGACTTGTAATTTTGTTTTTGTAAACTAATATTTGATTGTATCCAGCCTTAAATAATTTTGGTATTGATTTTTGTTTTCTTTTGTTATCAAACTGGTTATGCTTGTAACCAAATCACATGAAGTCGCACATAACTTTTATTTTTTTTTATGATATGAATACTACTCTATACACCCAATAAGTGCTAAAATGTTAAAGTTGATATCTGCCGTGCTAGACAACTTTATCATATATAAGTGAAGATTATTCACACTACTTATGGGTTTAGTCATGATAAGTGAGAACATGTTCGAGTTTGTTCAAACTGTATGTCATTTTGGGGAAATGAAGTCTTATGTATTAAGTATTATGGATACTAAATTGAGAAATTGACTCATGCATACAATTGTTTTGTTATTGTGGTTTGTTAGATTTTACGTTCCTAGTGGAACATAGGGCTTCAAGCTAAAGCTTTGAAGTTTCGGTAGCAGTGGTGTTTATTTTTACTGGATGGGGTTGCTAGTCTCATGCCTTCTTCTTGGCTTAGCGAGGTAAAGGAGTCCGTCGGTGGTGGGGGATCGAACCCGGGAGCACATTCGTAGTTGGCGAACATTCTACCGTTGTGCAGCCGACGCATTCTGTTAAGTAGTTCAAAATTATTATTCTATCCTTCACTTCTGGATAATTCCTTCGTTATATTTCCCTATACTCTAACAATAGGTCACTTATTTAGAAGTAAATATTCACTTTCTGCAGACAATCCTATGCATACATTTGAAAGAAACACGATATAATGAATGGATGAATTTCATGCATTGGTTTGATTCAATTTCATTGTTTTATCAGTGAAATTCAGATATTCTCCCACTTCTTCAAATTTTTTTTCGTCAAAGTATCGTATGGTATATTCTAGACAAAACTGTTAGCAGTTGGAACACTGGTGGTAGTAGAAGTCGTAAAGGCATACGAGACGTTGGTTTATCTGTTGTAAATCATTCATAATCTTCCAGGGGATTGTTTTGTTTCTCTAATTGTACCATTATATACAGTACAGTTCAAAACCGTATTCTTTCTTTAGGTTTTTGCAGATCCTATTGTAGCACCTTTTCCTGACGGAGTACGTCTAGAAAATCTTGATGAATATTTAACCAATGATCCTGCAAGTGATTCACGCTTTGAAACTAATAACCATGGCCATAAACATCAGACAAACAGTGAAATTTCAGAATATAAATCAAAAACAAGTTTCTCTGTCAACTCTGACACATCTGCTAACCAGTTGGATTATTCCAATATCAGACAACTAGTTAGAATTCATGGCCACTTTGATGCTCTTCTTAATGCCCCAGAACTAGCTAAACCTGATGAACTTGTTGTTAGAATAGGAAATTCATTGATTTGTGAAGTGAACTCCGTTATACTCACAGAGATACGATGTGATGTGGACAGAAGTATGATCATTACGCATCAAGATTATCCTGTTGAAATTCAAGTAAGTTATTTCTATTCAACTTCTTTTACTATTTCTTAGTTTAAAAGGTTAATCTTTCTGTGGGTTATTTAAAACAGGCTTATCTCATTCTGGACACAAATTTACAAAGGTGAAGTCACTAACATTGGCTCAAGAAGTTATGAAATATATCTCTCTAGGAAAGGATTCAAAAGGCAATGGCGTATTATTTGGATGTTTCTTTAGGGCGGATATAATATTGGCATAGTAAATAGAGCATTCAAAAACTATACTTCGAATGGTCTTTGAGAAAAATGTGTTCGGTTACAGGATTTCATCATGAGCTGACATTGGTTAGAGAACCATTGGAAAACCTGGGAGTACTGGACAGCTGTTTCGTCCTAGTTTGGGACTCTTCAGCTCATGATGAAATCCTATAACCAATCAACCAAATCCCTACAAACCAATACTTGAATAAAAATTTGTTCGTTGAAATGAATGAACTTGGCTGCTTAAATCGTCCATACTGATGTTCTTTTTGTACAACATCTCAATTGGATGCAGACGATAAGCTTGTTATCAGAATGTGACTGTCAAAAGACTGATAGTTGATTTTGCAAGGCCTTTGTGGCTTGATGAATAGTCACAGTTACTTTGTTTATATAAAATCATAGTTGAGCATTAGAACTAATCTGTATAGTCTATAGAAATTGGGCAATAGGTATACAAAATATCATTGTTTCAGAAATGATACGCCATATGTATTGTGAAGTATACCTTGTCTGTCCAATGTTCTTATCCCTGCGGCTAACTGGAATGTTTAAGTTACTCTGTCAACCTCATTTTTATTTCTACCTTTGCTATGTCATTTTTTTGTGTATGTCAACTAGAACTGATGCACTCCTGTGTGAAGCTGTTTGTTAATTCACCCTCCAGGAATGTGTTAAGTTATCCATTTGGTGTAGGCGTATGCATCATAGCATGACTTCATAAAATATCTTTCCATTTGAGCAAAGCAAGAACACCAAACTGAGCAGGATAACACGGGATCATTTTATTTCATCGGTCATTTCCAGCTGCATACAACTTTAAACAATTTTAATATCAGTATACAAAATATCCGTATGCTTTAGTTATTGAGCATGAACATGCACCTCATTGATATTACGTAAATGAGTGGCATAATGGAGAGGATAAAAGTTGTTATAAAGCTTCTCAGGTTACATAAAAATGCATACAATGATATTTTAAAATTAGGAATGAAATTTACAAATTGTATAGAAGTGTAAAATTGAAAACACATGCAACGCAAGAGTTGCATCATTTAGTTGACCAGAGGTCAAAAAAACACTCAGATCAATGAATAACGAGAAAATTAAGGACATGGAATTATGTTGCCAAAATAAATACAATTAATATTCAAGTGTTGGTTTGCAGAGATTTGATTGGTTTCATGATTTCATCGTGAACTGACATCGGTTAGAGGACCATTGGAAAACCTGGGAGTACTGGACAGCTATTTCGTCCTAGTTTGGGACTCTTCATCAGTACGCTTCCACTGAGGTTCGAACCCAGGACCTCCCAGTTACAAGGCGAGTTCGTAGACCTTAAAGCCACTGGGACCCGATCCAATGATCTATGAATTCCAAATTCTGCCAATTCCAATTCTCGCTGTACTATACTGGTTACGAATTCCCATTAGAACCCAGGCAACTACTTACCTGAATAAGGCGAGTCGCTAGTGAGCATCAGATTGATATTGAAATGTTGGTTTGCAGGGATCCGATTGGTTTCAGGATTTTATCATGAAATGACATCGGGTCGGGTGTGAGGACAAATACTCGCCAGAGATGACATTCGCTAGTGGTTGTGTCATATCATGAATTGGCAAATGTTGGAATTTATGGCCCACTGGATCGGGTCCCAGTGGCTTACATACATGTCGCCTTGTAACCAGAAGGTACTGGTTTCGAACCTCAGTGGATGCGTACTACTAGGACGGAGGAAACAGCTGTCCACTACTTCGAGGTTTTCCAATGGTTCTCTAACCGATGTCAGTTCAAGATGAAATCGTGAAATACAATTAAATTAACAAAATTAAAATTACATAAAACATGTGTTCACCATGGTGGGGCAAGATTGACAATGGTTGCTTTTTGAATACACAAGTTTACTGTTAACTATTTAATGACTACCACTTCGGTGGTACGCAGTAAACTGGAACCAACCTGAAGATAATTACGCATCAGGGTAGAGTTCCAGTCTGTTGTATTCGCAAATTCCGTTCCTAATTCTGGAATGTCAGTGTATTTATTTCTATGTAAAAAAGAGCAACCTTTTTTCCTCCCCGTTGCATAATTAAATTATTACGTAATTTTAATGGCCTTCATATTCATGCTGAATAACTAAAGCATGTGGACATTTTGCATATTAATGTTAAAAGTGTTTTAAGTTGTATGCAAATTGAAAAAGACTAATAAAATAAAGTGGTATCATATGCTGCTCAGTTTGTTTTGTTTATGTTTTATTCAAGTTCATCAGCAAGAAAAATTGTATGACCTTCCCGTTTATTTAACACTGATGAATTGGCATAGTTGTCGTTGTCATACTTTATCCTGATAATATTCAACACTTCGTAATTTTTCGGCATATTTTATATATTTTCAAGTATTGGTTTTGTAGGGATTTTCTTTTGTTTGATTGCATACAGGATTTCATCATGAGCTGACATCAGTTAGAGAACCACTGGAAAACCTGGGAGTACTGGACAGCTGTTTCGTCCTAGTTTGGCACCCTTCAGCAGTACGCACCCATCGGGGTTCGAACCCAGAACCTTCTGGTTCAATGGTCTACGATATTTTATATACTCATAATAAATACTATATGAATGTCTACACTAATAAATCTTTATATTGTTAAGATATTAGCTATATATTAGTGAAAGTGGAATTTAATTTTCCAATAAATGTTATTAACCAATACTCCATGGGCTAATTTGTTGAGTTAAACTCAATCTCTTACTAGCTGAACTAAATAAAATTTAGAAAGCACATGTTATGGACTTTATAAAGTGAAGAGTTTGGATTATTTACAATTGTCCTTAACTTAAATGTACAATGACACAGGATAAGTTCACTTATTCTCTAATATTAGTAAACTTGATTTTATGTAGGTGAAATGCTAATTTGATCGTCGTTAATACAATAGTGATACAAGTGACCTATCAAATATCAGTACACATTGAATATTTAGTAGTAATAATATAAATAATAATAAAGCTTTATGTCAGACAGCATGTGAACATATCGTACAAAAAATTTTCAGCGTACTTAGTTCCAAAATACCTTTTTCTTCATACAGGATATACATGTAAAGTAATAATCTGTAGTATACTCTTCATTTCATTGAGGAAATTGCACAGCGTTTACTTCGAAGCAAGTTAAATCAACACGCAAGGTCATGTATAGGTCATTTTATATAATTGGACTATTAAAACAATGATAAATCCATATGAATATTCAAGTATTGGTTTGTAGGGATTTGGTTGATTGGTTACAGGATTTCATCATGAGCTGACATCGGTTAGAGAACCATTGGAAAGCCTGGGAGTACTGGACAGCTGTTTCGTCCTAGTTTGTGACTCTTCATCAGTACGCACCCACCGGGGTTCGAACCCAGAACCTTCTGGTTACAAGGCGAGCTCATATACCATTAAGCCACTGGGACCCGATCCAATTGCCCATGAATTCCAACTTCTGCCAACTCACGATATAGCACAACCGCTAGCCAATGTCTTCGGCGAGTATTTGTCCTCACACCCAACCTGCTGCATCCTATTGTTCACAACTTTCCACTGGAACCCCAGGTAACTACCTACCAATGTCAGCTCATGATGAAATCCTGTAACAAATCCATGTGAAATTGAGCATTTCGGGGAAAGTAATTTCGGTAGCTCAGTGATTCAATCAGACTGCCTAAATCGAGCACCACACTATGTGGTATTTGTGTTTTAAGGCGAAAATTCAAAACTTGTACTTTACTGATATCTCCATGTGTTTCAGATTAGGACACACAGATACTATCGCATTTCTTGTCACACTGATAGTGTCAAAAGAAATGCTTTCAAAAAAATGGAAATACCGACAAGATTTCATTGCTTTTGAAGCTCCGATGGTATTATAAATATTTTTTTAAAATCTTGTATTATACCCTTTTTCTGTCACATTTTTGTCCATCTTATATTATTATCCTGATATTTTTATTGTATCGAGTTTTCTGCATGCAGAAAATCTCAGGTACATCTTATTGTGAGTAATTAACAATTTTCTCTTTTCGTGAACTGTATTCGTGAAAACACTGAGATGTTGTTTTTTTTTAACAAAGCGGAACAAAATAATATAGACTAACATTTTGTTGTGTAATGATTCTGCATTGAAGAAATTAGCTTCACTCCTAATGGAGATACTTTTGAAGTAATTAATATTTGTATGTATTCATCGCGGTTTCAGTAGGTATGACTGACGACTGTATTTCAATATAGAACTTTGCACAGAAATGCAGCATTTCAAGTTGCTGTACTCTGTTTGGCATACAGCAGGTAGAGAAAGAGAGAGGTAAAAGATATTCAAAAGAACTGTGATAAGCGGAAATGTGTTGATTGATAAGAGAAAAGTAACATGTGAAAAAATCTGAGATCACAATATAGTATGCCTAAAGAGTTACTAGCGATACACAAATCAAAGAAGCAAAAATTATCCTTACTCTCTCTCTCTCTCTCTGTCTCCCTCTATGTGTTATCGTTTTAATTAAAGCTATTATGCGAACCTTTTATATATCTGAAAGTGTATCACTTTTCTCTTAGATTTTGCTTCTTTGTCAAAATTAACCATAAAAATTGTTTGTATGACATCAGAATTCACCGTCATTGCTACATTTTTTAGTTTGAACTAGTATTTTTTCTTTGTCAATACACAAACTTGGTACATTTTGTATGCACCAAAAGATGTGTCACATAAAATCTCATAGTTTGTGAGAGGACTGGT